AGCTAAGAGTCAGCTCTATCTACCTGCATAATACTAATTTTCTCCGGTGAAAGATGACTTAATTATGCTCAAAATATCTGAAAAGTTTTAGGCGATTATCAGAATTACCCCATGTGACTCTAAGTGAGATAACTTAAGCACAAGGCTATTCAATCAACTGACTTTTGTCACTTTTTTCGTTCACGGTTGAGCTTTCCGCGCTTAACGTTTGCTAGAGACTACCTCGACCCAGGAGAAGCCACATTCCCTTCGTCGCACAATTACATTCGTTTTCTACACGTCAGAAACGAGACATGTCCTTCTGCACAGAAGATACGCTCTGTCAGAGCTGTTTCCTCATTGTTTGTTACGTCACAACTCAAACAACGAGTTTCGTTACTATTGACTCTTCATAAAAGAAACGACAAACATAAAGCGGTGATGTCATCATGAAAACACTTAAATGATGTTGGTAAAAACATCACGTTGATTTCATATCCCGAACAGAGATGCAGCATCACTTATCAGACCGATTGCTCAGTACTCGTGGCAACGATGAATGTTTGAAGCAAGCACAGAATGGTAAGTTGATCATGTGTTTTTCAACTACATTCATTGCGGCACACACAAACCTGATGATTGCAATGTGTTGAGAAAAGTGGAGAGAGAGATGACGTCCATGGTCAGGGCCACACTAAATTACTAATGGCTGGCCATCCATCTATATTCGATTGGAAGGATAGAACTGTGCCTAATTTTACTCGAAGAACCATCACTCAATGTGCACTGTTACTCATCTTCGAGAGTGCGTATCCACCTTGCCATTCTTCCTCCTTTAACTGCAGAGACTCTCTTCGTCCAGAGAGACCAATGATTCAAACTCTTGACCATGCACGTTTATTTAGATGTGACACAATTTCAATCGCTTGCGAATGAAGTGATTCTTGACATCTTTGAATATTTCGATGCTTATGATATTCTCCACTCATTCCTTGGATTAAACTATCGTTTCGATGCACTACTTGGCACCCTACAGCTTGATCTGAACTTTCTACACATCAGCAAATCCAAATGTAACTTTATCTGCGAACACTTTCCATCAACAGCGCAAATTCGTTCTTTGGGTCTGTCTGACGCGACTTTCAGTTACGTTGACTTGTTCTTCATCGAGTCTACCAAGAACACATTGGTAAATCTTCGCTCTTTATCCTTATTCGATACCACACCAGAAAAAGTGATCAAAGTCGTAGTACCGCACTTGTCCTGTATGACACAACTATCGTCACTAAGACTTACTACGAAATTAAACAACCACCAGGAAACGACGGTTCCTAATGCTTTTGACAAACCCACTGCTATTTACCTACTTACAAACGATTTGAAAGTAAACAAGACTCTCACTAAACTTGAACTTAGATGGAACCAAATATCCGATAGAGGAGTTGAAGCACTAGCAGAAGCACTGAAAGTAAACAACACACTCACTCAACTTGATCTTGCAGACAACCAAATATCCGATAGAGGAGTTGAAGCACTAGCAGAAGCACTGAAAGTAAACAAGACTCTCATTCAACTTCATCTTGCAAACAACCAAATATCCGATAGAGGAGTTGAAGCACTAGCAGAAGCACTGAAAGTAAACGACACTCTCACTAAACTTGATCTTGCAAACAACCAAATATTCGATAGAGGAGGTGAAGCACTAGCAGAAGCACTGAAAGTAAACAAGACTCTCACTAAACTTGATCTTAGCATCAACCAAATATCCGATAGAGGAGTTGAAGCACTAGCAGAAGCACTGAAAGTAAACGACACTCTCACTAAACTTGATCTTAGCATCAACCAAATATCCGATAGAGGAGTTGAAGCACTAGCAGAAGCACTGAAAGTAAATAACACTCTCATTCAACTTCATCTTGGATGGAACCAAATATCCGCTAGAGGAGGTGAAGCACTAGCAGAAGCACTGAAAGTAAACAAGACACTCACTCAACTTGATCTTGAACACAACCACATATCCGATAGAGGAGGTGAAGCACTAGCAGAAGCACTGAAAGTAAACAACACACTCACTCAACTTGATCTTGAACACAACCAAATATCCGATAGAGGAGTTGAAGCACTAGCAGAAGCACTGAAAGTAAACGACACTCTCACTAAACTTGATCTTAGATGGAACCAAATATCCGCTGGAGGAGGTGAAGCACTAACAGAAGCACTGAAAGTAAACAAGACACTCTCACTCAACTTGATCTTGCAGACAACCAAATATCCGCTAGAGGAGGTGAAGCACTGAGAGAGTGGGTGTAAGATGATGGCACTGTGGTTCTCTAGTATGCTTCGGAGGCAGCGCGGTTTTCCTTTTTTGCATAAGTTTTTCTGTTTTTTTGTGGGCTTTTATGTGTGATTGTAGTTCATGTTTCTTGAATTGTTCTACATGAGTTGAAGCGCTTGAGACATACTGCAGTTATACGAGCTAGACCGGATTCCGTGCATTCAGGATGAGATTCCAAGGAGAGTTAGTGCGTTTGTTGTGTTCGACAAAGTAGGTCTCACGGCTACGCTTACCATGAAGAGGTAAAAGGTGCTAGAGGCTTCATGTTGCGTCATACGAAAGACTTGGAAGCCGCTTTCATTTTAATATAAATAAAGTTATGCTTTGTTAGATTTTGAGCTTGTCCAGCACGCTATAAAACGAGTGATATCTGCTAATGCAGGTAAAGTCGTCCAGTCGAAAGTTCTTGCCGAATATCAGAGGAGAAAATCTCATTTATGAATAGAAATATGTGACTTTGTATGCTCTGTCCAGCTGGCAGCATGAGAGCGCTTGATAGTATTAGATAAGGTCGGCTTCAGTTCAGAAGTTATCGCCGAGGAAGATCCGTGTTCGGAATAGTTTTTCCATTGGACGACACGGAGTCTTTTTACGTACCTTTAGTAGGACTATCGATTGCACATAGTCACAGATTGTGTTGACAATGTTTCATGTTCATTTGTACTGAATGTTGTCGATGCTATTAGGTCTCTCGAATATCTAACTGTGGTTGACGATCTTTGAAAAAATATTTATTGCTGTTCTAAATACAGCAAAAAGAACAAATTCAATTAAATAAGTTTACGACCGTTCGGTCGACAAGGTTTTCCATACAACCAATAAGAACCGGCGCTAATTCTGGTGCAGTTGTATCATAAACGTTATTGTAAGAACATACGAGTCCACTTCGCTTGCGATGACCATCGCATAAGATGACACATGTACAGTTTTCATCATATTTTTTCCCCGGAATCAAATAAGATGTTTCTGAAAGGAAATGAAAATTGCACATAATTTTTTATTCGAATGTCGAAACCAATCTGCGCCACCCTCATCTATTAAAACACGAATTCAAATTCAAAATTCGAAATGTGTGTACTGAAAAACAGATAACCACCAACATACATGGACATACTCTATCTGTTTTACATTAGAAATGTCAAATAATTTAAAGAAATTTTGGAACATCCATGTACTCGAATGGATTTAAACAAAATGTGTTCAAATTAATTTCGCTTCTTGATCAAATATGAAACAAAATCATGAAACTTCTGCACAATTAATTTATACAACTGAAAAACTTTTAATTAATTTTTCCTGAAAAAACTAATTTCTCTGAGTAAAAAATCCAAAAAGTCTCATATTAAATTAATTTTTGATTGTGAAGTATTTATTTTAAAGTTTTAATCGCCATGTGAATGATAAATTACGACCTGTTCGGTTTCACACTACAAAGCTTTCTTGCAAAATGAACTGATTAAAATGAACGAGTGATTTTTCTTGCAACAGTATAGTTTCTCGCCTCAACAAACACCCACGAAAATGTCAATCGTGCTAGTGTGTTCACTTCGCTGAATCGAACCATATACTTGGCACTGCTCGGCTTATAAAATAAATTTGACTTCGTTCACGTTCAGTACATCTTAGAGAATGTTCAAAAGAAGTAAAAACAATGTGTCACTAATTTTTTTATATTATTGGCTCCTGCAACCACTCGCACTAAAAGAAGGCATATGAAATTGTTAGTTATGGAAAAGCTAACTTTTTCGCAGACCAATCGTTTAGCTTGTTGTTGGATAAAAATTTTATTTTGTCATATTTGAACAATTTGATTCGAAATGTCTTATCGTCGGAATTGTTCAAACGCTATCACATATTATTAGTTGATAAATGAAGTTTTACTGCTCCGAGAAAGAGCTCTTTTACAGCTATAAAGAGCTCTTTCTCGTTATTGACGAGAATAATCACAACTGCTCTCTAAGTTACATTCGTCAGTCGTTGTAGGAGTTTTTTTTATCTTAGTGAATTTTTTAGAATTTATTCTTGCTTATATATGACTATGACTTTGGGGGGGGGAGTCGATCTCCACAATCCCCCTGGCTACGTCACTGCCGTTAATGTTAACAAGCACAATTCGTTCCATTTGCTTGACAAAACTCGATAAAGCAAAACATTCTACTCACACAACTGAAAGACGAGATGTAACAGAGACCATGACCGTATACAGCTGAAAAGTTACGCTCATTTGCAAGCAATGATATATGTAAGAACAAACATAATTCAATTCCTAGAAGTTTCATGTATAATAGAAGGAAAGAGCGGCAACGATCATCTATATCCAACCTAAACCGTTTTATGATACTAAATAAATTGAAGTTTGTGGTTTGATATTTTAATAGGACTTTTTTAGTATATTTTACGGTAATATAACTCATTCGCGTTAATAATCCCAACTTTCAAATCATAGTACCAACAGCCTGGTTTAATTGTCTATTAAGAATATTCTTACGAGCTGTGATTCAAAACAAAAATCTCTCTCTAAACACATTCATTTATTTTATCATATACAGAAACGAGAATATACTGTTTATTACACATTTATTCCAAACTGGACTATGCGAACGTTGTTTTTGTTAGCGTGTTGCACTGTACTTATTAGCATGATGGTAAGAAAGTTGTTCGCATTTCCACATGGCAAAGGCATAGATCATACTGACCAAACAAACGGAAATAGCGACATCTCTAACATACAAGCAAATCTGGACGAAGTCCTGGACCACCGAGCAGCACGTAAAAAACGACAATTAATAATACCGAACATGATTTTATCCAGAGATATGTAGTTTGCTCATAAAGAGTTGATCATTGAAGACTACACTCGTTAAACGTCCCACGAAATATGCATGTTTACCATAATTTTATTTTTAACTATTTTTTGTCTTAATCGAATAAATCATGCGAGGAGTCGGCGATGACAGACGTACATGATGAATTAAAATTGAGCATGTTCTGTTAGCTGTCTTCGCCATACATATTTAAGAACTCTGAAATACATGTCCTGAGAAAATATAATGTAATCCTTGACTACTCTCCTTCACCCAATAATTTACAGAAAGGCAGCGAAATGCTTTAAATAAGCTTTGATGTTTGGAAGAATCATTTCTTTTTGTGTAATGTCTATAGTCAATAAAACAGTATAATAGACTTCAAAATGGAACAAAATTATCTAGATTTTAATATCGAAACGAAAAATGACAGATTCTTTCTTTTTACTAGTTATCAAGAATAGCCGAATGATTATTTACCGATTAAATCTTAAACATTGTTGTTCGTTGAAACAATATAATAAATTTTCGTCAACAGCAATTGTTTCGTTTCTTACAAAAAGAAAAAGAAAAAAATAACAAAAAAAACAAAAGAAATCGAGTTTAAAGAAACTAGCATTAAAATGTTTTCCAACTAATAAATAATGTGTTTTTATCGGTTTATTTCCATAATTTTTTTAGTGAAACATTTTTCTCCGAATCCTTTTGCATAACCTAATTAATAAACAAAAAAATAAAGAATTAACTCTTTTAGAAAAGATTAAGAGTGAGTCGTCCACGTAAGGATCTATAAAACGTCCAAAACAATAAAATTTACAGTTGGGTGTCCATTGTTCTTAACGATCGACTAAGTTAGGGAACTGATATATTCAAAATTCGATGGAAATTTCCGGGATATGATCATTGACTCTTGGAATATTGCGATGATACAACTGTTACATCATGGACTTAATAAGTAGCGGAAAATTATTTTTATATAGGGAGTCGACTGTATTAAGTCAAACATGTACTTCGAAAGATGGAGAATCAAAAAGAACCCCTTTGACTAAGGGCGAAAATCAAAAACATCAGAAAACTTATTTTTCACCAAAAGCCTTTTAGCTATATGTAATTAGGACTCTTAATTTAAGAGTCAATGATCATATCCTGAAAATTTCATCGAATTTTGCAGATACTAACTTTCTACCTTAGTCGATCGTCAAGAACAATGGGTACCCAAATATAAATTTTCCAGTTTTGACTGTTTCGTTGATTTTTATGCAGACTCATTCTTAAGTACTCTACCTTTGCAACAGCAAGTTCAAAGTCCTCTTGTGTAACGTGTACACGACGTTCACGTAAGGCGTACATTCCAGCTTCGGTGCAAACACCCTAGATTAAAGAGAAAATGAGATTGATCGCAGCTTTAAGTTTGTTTCGTCTTACTTTCACTTCAGCACCTGAAGCACCCGGCATCATTTCGGCTATTTTGCGTAAATTAATTCCACGTGTTAAATTCATTTTTCTTGAGTGAATTTTCAATATATCTAAACGTGCTTCTTCACTTGGTGCTGGAAATTCAATTTTACGATCAATTCGACCAGGACGTAATAAAGCTGGATCCAAAATATCAATTCGATTCGTGGCCATTATAACTCTAATATCAAATTTAGATGGCAATATAGTAAACGATAAGTGATCATTTTAATCATTTACTTGATGTTTTGCTTTGGCTCAAATCCATCCAATTGATTCAATAATTCTAACATTGTTCGTTGTACTTCGCTATCACCTAGATAAATGTTAGGAAACTAATTGTTATAAAAAAAGAATGAAAAACCATTGTTTCTTCGTCATACCTCCAGAGCTTCCTTCAACACGCGTAGAACCAATTGAATCAATTTCATCCATAAATATAATTGATGGTGCATGTTCACTAAACATCAACAAAATACAACTTTTTATTTCCTGCAGTAGATTAACATCTTACAGATATTTACCGTGCCATAACAAAAAGTTCGCGCACCATTCGAGAACCTTCACCAATGAATTTTTGTACTAATTCAGAGCCCGAAACACGAATAAATGTACATTCTGTGTGATGAGCAACAGCTCGTGCCAATAATGTTTTCCCTTAGAAAAAAAAAACTGGAAAAATGTATGTTGACACAAATGAACAATGTCAGATCCTACCAGTGCCAGGTGGTCCATATAACAGTACGCCCTTTAATAAACAAAGAATTATTCAAAAAAACTAAAAATAATAATAGAACACCCACTTTTGGTTGTCCAATTCCAAGTGCATCAAATAATTCGGGATGTTTAACAGGTAATTCAATAACTTCTTTGATCTCTTTTATTTGTTTATCCAGACCACCAACCATTTCATATGTTGAATCTGGAACTTTTTCGACCATCATTAACGAGACTAGTGGATCAACCTAAAAAAGAACAATGCTACTATTAACTAGAGTTTTGTCACTATGTACGTAACGTACTCACCTTGTTAGGAAGTATTTTGTGTAACGTATAACTATCATTTTTTAAAGCAACACGACAACTTGGTGTAACTTTGGCCATATCGATATTTTTATCTATATCAACAATAAATTTTCCTTCAGGATGTACCTAAAAAAAGCAATTTTACAATAAAGAAATTACTATTATACAAAGATAGACAAACGCTTACTTTAACAAGAACTTTCTTTTTATCCATAGATTTGACAACTTCACCAACTAGTGAGCCTTGTTCTTGTAATAATTGTAATTCTTCTCTTAGCATACGAACTAGAACAGATTATAAAACAAATCAGTTCAAATTTCTCATAAATTTTGGTTTAGTTTAATTTACCTTTTGCATTCAATTCATTTCGTTTTGCTTGTAAACGGCGTAAATTTTGACTTTTTTCAGTCACCATTAACTGTAACAACAAAAAAAATAAAGAAAAACGAAGGAAAGCAATATAAACTATCACATACCTGTAATTCTTCAATCTTCTGAACGTAATATTGTTTGATTCCTTCATGATTGTCACCAGCTACTTGTGCCGTTGTCATAGGACGAGTTACTTCAACCATTGTTTCTCCAGCTTCCATATAATAAAAGAAACGAAAAAATGTCAGATACTTTGTTCGGATTTAGGAGGTTTGATCTGAAGATTATACAACGAACAAATATTGTAGGTCAGATGGAAGAAGAAGAGCAAAGCTATTCTTAATGAATACGAATATTTTTCACAAAAGAAAATGGGAACTAGTGCGGGACAGTTATATCGGTGATTAACGGGGAAAATGAATTTCATATTTTTGAATTATTTCTCAAAATCTATTTGGATTCGAAGGCCTATGATTGACGAGTTATATATTCTTTTCAGAGTGCGTAAAATCTCGATACTAGAAGAGCAGTCATATCAATATCTGATTTTAACTGTTCAGATATTTAACGACTTTCATTCGAGAAGGAAGAAAATGATGAAAGAACTAGAATGCTGTTTTATTTGACGAAAGGATGCACTATGGCAGTTGGTTGAAAATACTGGGAAACAACATGTTTTGAAAGACATGACTTTTTCATTTAATTTGCGTTGCATTAAATAGTATATAATTATCGAAAATATAGTGATAACAGTCTTCTACATGGAGTTTGGCACAATTTGTATGACATATTTTGCAGAAAAACAAAATAGTGCTACAAGAGGAGACTTGACTTTAATTCAGAAAAACGCTCCTTGATCTATAAGTAGAATTAAACTTGTTACAAACATTATAGAAATGAATCAGCTGACCTATGGATAACGGTTCAAATATAGAATACTGCTTCATTCAAAGCAGTTTTATTCTTAACTTAGTAATCTGGTATCACTTAAAAAACTGAATTTCTGTTTTAACAAAAACTAAGGATTTTTTTATTGATTGTTTATTTTTTACGTATAAATCGATGATTCAAAAGAACATAGTATACAGACTTTTTTGAATTTGGTCTTAATCCGACTGCATGAAAAGTTGTGTACTTTATATAATGAGCATTTACTACTTTCTTAGACAATTGGTTTAACATAAGAAAAATGCAGATTAAATGAAAACGTCATGTCAACCAACTGCCATAATGCATCCTTTCGTCAAATAAAACAGCACTCTACTTTCTTCATCATTTTCTTCCTTTTCGAATGAAAGTCGTTAAATATCTGAACAGATATTGATATGACTAATATTGAAATATGACTGCAATATTGATGAATAATTGATGACTAATATGACTATCAGATATTGATATGACCGCTCTTCTAAGTATCGAGATTTTACACACTTTAAAAAGAATATATGACTCGTCAATCATAGGCCTTACAATCCTAAAATGAATTGTTCTTATAAAACGGATAGAAGAAGAAAGTTTTTATTTTCTACTGTCAACGATGTTAAAAATTATAGATTTATTTACTTCTTTTACATGTAAAAAATGTAAAAATTACTTCACACTGTATAATAGTAAGGCAAAACTCATGTTCAACATGCGAATGCGAACTGCATGATCATCATGTTCAACTTCAACGGTGCAGTAAAGAAACTGAAAGCATGTGATTGATTAACTATTTAATTTAAATCATAGTGAAATGTTAAGACAACACGTTATAAAGCGTTAAATAACGTTTGACATGAAAAACAAATAGATTTGGAGAAATAATTCAAAAATATGAAATTCATTTTCCCCCGTTAATCACTGATATATCTGTCGCGCACTCGTTCCCATTTTCTTTTGTGAAAAATACTCGTATTCATTAAATACACATACGCTAAGTTTTTACGCCCACTAATGAAGATTTACTCAATAATTTAAGAAAGCTGGTTGCGCCACTCTCATCAAGACGACAGATTCTTCATTTTTGTAAAAAAACATGTTTTATCTGATTCATTCTACTATTAACAAAATGTTCCAGAATTTTTAGGAGGCATAATGACAGATCAGTATGATGGTTGTGATAACTAAACCAATCGACAAATGTTCATAGTCATTGCTAATTGTTTATTTCTCTGCTATTCCTAGTAAAGTTTATAGTGGAATTTTTGAAAGTTTTTACGGGAAACTTGGATATTTTCTTAAAATTTTCAGCATACACTCACTGTAGAAGACAGATGAATTATTTTACTGAGAAAAACCTGAAGAACTAAGATATTGAACAATAATAATAGCGATATTCTAAGATCAAAGGAAAAATGTGAAAAAAAGATGTGGGTGTAAAAACTCGTTGGTAATCGTCTATCTTTCGATATTAGCCGAAAGCTACTCATTGAACATGAAATTCTACTGTGGATTAAAACACGAAAGATTACTTCTCACACCCGATGCTTGAAAAATTTGATTCTGTTTTTCTGTTTGAACATTTACTAGTAATTTCAATCAAGAGAAGACAAATACACACACGCACAGAAATGAAAGTTATAAACAATGAAACACAGAAACGAAAGAAAACAAAAAAAGAAAAACAAGTGTTTCACAAATAACAGTAAAGATCACGAAAAATGAAACGGAGAAAAAAAAGAAAAAGTCCGACAAAATCATGCTCAACTAGTTTCTTTTTCTTATACCGATTAATAACAAAAGAAAGAAAAAACCATGAGTCAATGGATAATTTTAAAAACAAAAAAAAAACAAAAAAGAAAACAAGAATAATAACAACAGATTCATTTGAACAAACGAACAAGTTTAGGTTTGGTGCGCATTTTATATAAACAGTGAATGTGCGTGTTTTTTTACACGAAAAATGAAAATGATATAAAAAAATTAATGCGATGAGAATGAATCGTGTTTCTTTATAAAGCTATCAAACACACAGAAAAACTAACAACAAACAAAATATAGTGTCTTTTTCTATTGCAAAATAAAATACATACGAGAGAAAAATTTTAGTTTAAAAAAACGTACGTCGTATATGGACTTTGAAATAAAGAGAGAAAAAATTGATTATCGTGTTTGTCTGAGTGCTTTTAAGTTTTTGTTGTTTGAAATTGTGGAAAACCACGAGTTAATGTATGCAATAATCTAGAAGAAACATATACAAATAGATTATTCTAGCTAAATGACAATGAAAATAAACAAACCTTTTAACATCTGGAGATATATTCATAAATTCACGTGACCATAACTTAAGATGTGGATTTCGTACAAGTTCAAGAAATGTTATCAATAAACCCCATGGATGAGGACGATTAGCAACCAAACGTTCAAGTAAAACACTTAAGAAATGGAAGAGAACAATGAATAGTCATCATCTGTGAATTTTGACGTACATACCGAACAATTTGTTCTTGCAATGATTCTGAATTAGCTTCAGCAAATAAATACAAAAGTGTATAACTAAAATAATGAGTATGCGTGTTAGGAAATCTCAAATGATTGGCCATGGCATTGAGAAATATATAGCGACCTAAATAAAAAAATAAATAAGTTAGTAAGAGAAGTGAATCCAAGACAAACAAATATTTACCTTCTGTATCAAGATCAACAGCTAAGTTTTGAAATATGTCCATTGGTGCTGAGTGTGTTATGGAACCGACTAATACTTGTGAGCCCTTCTGTTGTATAGTTGTGATAGCTTGTGATGCAACATATAACACAAGAGCATTTAACATTCGAATATTATAATGACTACCAGGATCAGCTCCTTGTTGTAAACAAGAACGTAATTCAGATAAAAACGTAACGGGAGCACGCGTACGAAGATAGGAATCGAGATTCTAAATGAAAATAATGAGAGAAATAAAGCAAAACAGCAGTGATTTATCATCATGTCTACTCCTATATCCACACAGAAGGTTCCAACTACTTACGGCCTTAAATTTTGGTGGTTGTATATTATTTGAATAGTTGTATGCTATAAATGGGCTATAACTAATATCATTTAACATATCAACTTTAAAATTGACTAAAAATGGATCTGGACAACGCATTTGTTTTGGAAATGCTGATAATACAATGTTCCGTAGTTGATGTGCAACCAATGGTAGTGCATCACAAAACTGATAATAATATTCACATAAAAATTCTGGAAAATCGTGCAGTAGTAACATGAACGTTTTTAATACTCCCTAGGATAACAAGATTTTATAGACAAAAAAATATTTCATTTTTTTCCCCACTTTAATTACTTTAAAATAAACTTGAAAACTTGGTGTATGTTCTCCACTACGAATGAATGGTGCAACTAATCGTAAAGCATCGACCAATAGCAATGCATACATATTTTGTGTCTAGAGATCAAACAATAAGACTGATAATATGTTAAGTAAAAGTTTGTAAAATATCTGCAGATTTCGACTATCTAATCAACAGAAGATTGAATGATATATTTCCTTACTTGTCGGATATATTTTGTATTTGGTGCTAATAATTTTGACATAAACGTTCTATGGGCAACAATTTCTAACCAAGCAAAGGAAAAACCAGTCACACGCTGTGGGCGTAATAAATGCAAAACATTTCTAAACACACGAAAACCGTTTCATTATTGAAATAGCAAGACAAACAGTATGACGTACGTGAATGCTAAATAGATGTAGTACATGACAAGATCATTTGTATTTTCGGATGCTGTTGCCTCTTGGAATAAATTTAATATAATACGTTGATAAGCAATTGGATTAAATTGATCACCTTGTTGATCATCATGATCAACTTGACAGAGTGCTGCTAATATTCCTAATATTCTATTGATCAAATGTATTCTAGCAGCAAAATTAGCCACATCAGACGTATGTGTTGTTAACAATGATAAAAATCGACATAAACTATCTATTCCTTGATGGCAACGTACATAATGTGGTTGTTGATTGGCTGGTGTACTACGTAATATATCATAAACACTATTAACACACAATTGAATTGTCATACGTAAAAACTTCGCTATCGTATCATCGGAACGAAATATGCCTTGAATATTCATCTACAAAAACACACGAAACAACGTTAATATTTGTCGTATACAATAAATGGCTAGAGGAGTAAAATCTACGTATGCTCTTCTTGATATTTGGAACATTCTCAAAAGTTTCAGTATGACGATGCAAGCATTTTCTGTTGCGGCACAGTTTGAATAGAGTCGGCTAGAAGTAGCAAGCTAACTCGTTAATGTAACCTTAATGATCTATTCTTTTTATCTCTAAGCGATGGGAAATCTTATTCAACAGAGTTGACTTTTGTCTCTTTTAAAAAATGAATGCATTTAAGCGAAAATATATCACATACTTGATTAAAAACGGTTTGAAATGCTTGTTGTTGAGCTATACGATTTGTTTGCGTAATTGTAATACTAACCCATTCACTAAGAATGAGTTTAGCTTTAGCGGCGATTGTAGTTGTTTCAATTTCATCATTAGTGAGATATTTTGAACCACTATTGATAACTGATAACGATATAATAGCAAGACGATCAAATTTATTCACCGAATTAGTTGTGTTTGTCTCGTTGGTTGTCGATGTGGCAGCTGTTGCTGAATTAGGTGTGGTTGATGATGGAGTTGTCGCCGTTGCTGATGAAGTGGATGTTGAATTGTCATTTGATGATACTGATGATGATGCATAATTCAATCGTATTATTTCAAGTAGATCACGAACGCTGTATTATTGAAGAAAAACATACGGTAAGTGGTATTTGTAAACAGTTTGTCATCAACTTACGCTTCAGCTGGTTGTTTTCCAATTAATGATATACGATGTAATGATTCGATAATAAATGAAATATCGCTATCTGAGCATGCTGGTTGTTCAATAAGACATGAACGAATAAAATGTACTGCAAAATGTAGTGCTGGATTATTGCCACTGTCAATCAACTACAAGAGAAATTTAAATAATAAGAATGCAGTGTAAGAAGAAACTGAAGCTCACTCACTTGTGAAATATGTGCATCAACCTGTCTACAGTCTAATAATCGATTTCGAATTAATGTATTTACAGCATGAACGTTGAATTTAAGTTCGTTTGGACAATCAAGCCAACATCTACAAAGTGATTAAAAAAAAATAGAATCAATCAAAAAACAGCTGCATATCGTGTAACATACTTCGTCAATTGTTTTGTTATAACAGATATTTGTAATCTTATATCAATTAGTAGTTTTAATACGGCCATATGTACATCACGAAAACGAGTTGCACCTTCACTATCTTGAGTTTGGGCTTGTTGGGTATAACATTCTAATAAATTATAGACAATCTAAACAAGAAAGATAAGAAACAAAAATTTTAGTAAAAATAATAGCATCTATAAAACACTTACCGTATTCAATACAGTAGCCAAGGCAGCTTGAGCTGCTGATGGTAGAGTTTGTAAATTTGTACGCAAAACAGTCAATGAATCAATTAGACGCTGTAGTGGTGTACTATAGGTTGAATTGACTTGTAATTGAATAACTTGTTCTATATCACTTATTAAACGGTCCCATAATGATGGACTATTGTCTTCCATCTATACAATAAGAAATTTGATAAATATACCAGATTTAGAAAAAACAGTCAATAGAAATGTACAAAGAGCATTTTGAACGAAGTCTAGCAAAAAGTGTGAAAAGTCTGAGTCAGTTCCTGGAGAAAAAGCCATATTGACAGAAGATTCGATTCACAATGTGAAGATTCTCACTGAACAGAGCAAATAAACATTGACAAACTACACACGATTCTACTTCTGGGTATTTACTTGTAACGGTTCTCTTTTTTCGTTGTCCGATGGTTTGAAACCAGGTATATAATGTACAAAATCTTCATAAATAGCTAATTGATGAGAATTCAATGGTCCATATTTTAAACGTATTTGTTCCGGTAATTTTTCGGTTTGAAAATTATAGTTATATGGATCAACGTTCCATTGCTTTTGTTCTAAACGGGTACGTTGTCTTTGTTCAATGTCTGATGCGAGACGTGTATCAATATGCTGAATAGCACGACTAATTGTTATGCGTTGTAATAGACAACAGCATAGTTCAATATTTGATTGTGCTATTTCATTAGCAGCTTGGTTGATCATTTCACGTGTTTGTGCATTTAAATCTGGATTACCGGATGTTGTTGATGATGATGCTGTTGTATTGGCATTTGCATTTGTTTCAGATGAATTTTGTGTAACACCTAATACGGTTTGTAAATGATTGCGAATATACGTTTGTATTTGATCTTGTAATGCTGGACGTGCTGTGATTAATACCAGTCCACTACTCAAATAAGCGACCATATTTCGGGCGGATGTGCGTAATTGTTGCTCATCGGGATTAAACATGAAATCTTTTCGTGCAATTGTTTCAGCGGCACTCGTGGCTACTTTTAGAGAACGTTGTACAGTTGTTAATGATTCATTGATAGCTTGTTCAATCGGTGAATGAATATAGGTTTTTAAACGTGGATGATGTTGAAATAATAATAAATTTGGATTAATTTCTAGCATTGTTGATAAACTTTGAAATATGGATGATTTAAAATCAGATAATTTATATTTCGGTGATGGCACTGGTGCACTAGCATTATTTGCTGACGAAGGTGCACCACTAACATTTGACGATACCGTTGCTGAGGTTGCATTCTGTATACCGACAGACGATGGTGCGACAGGTGTTGGTTGTAAGGCACTTGAATGTGACTGATACGATGGAGATTGTTGAATGATGGCAGGATCATTTAATGCCAATGATTGTTGACGTTGTTGTTGATCAAGTTGTTGTTGACCTTGAACGGAAGAGATGAGATCTTTTGTTGATTGATTTTGTTGTTGTAATGGATGAAAAGATGACATACCCAGTGGAATATGTGATGTCGACAATTGTACTGGGCGAGATAATTGTTTATCGAGTTTTTCGAAATATTCTTTATTTTGTAATATGTGAGGAATAGGTAAATCCTAAAAGAAAACCAGATCAAACATTAAACTGTTTCATACTCTCGTTTATTTATCCGGCAAGATCTTATAGAAAATTAGCAAAGACATATTTTATTTTTTTAAAGCTCTTGTTGTAAGATAGAAAACGTGATGTACTCTACAAATGCACGAAAGCAAAATTTTATCTACAAGTTGATATCTCGTATCAGATATATACTTTAAAGAAGAAAAAGTCTCTGTACGTATTTAATCATCAGATGAATGTCCATCTCACTACTTTTCACTTACATTCAACTGTATTTGTAATTGTCTACATAAGACTTCGATTTCAAACTTTAAATTTAATTTAAATTCAGGTGATTGATGCATTTCAGCCAAAACAGACATAATACCCATTAGCCATGGATTTGGTGGTTGAAATATCTGAACGAGAAAAACAACAATACATTATTATTATTTAGAAATGATCTTAAACTACAATAAATATACTTTTCATGTATTTGTCTATCAGATTCTCTTTAGGCTACAAAAGTATATTCATTGTAGTTTATAATCAAGTCCTGTTTCTCTTTTTAAAGAAATAATCTTAGTTAAAAGCCAATCTTACTTTACTACGAGTACATGATTCTAATATTTTTGCAATAAATGGCACAACATAAAGTAATTCTTGTGAGCCTGTATGATAGGCTTCAATTGTTAATGATTTAAGATCTAAATCCTAAAATAACTTTACATTGACCAAATTGTTTTAGAAAATAAAGTGATATTTACACATACAATAGCAAGAATTGGTTTATTTTTTCCAATTGTTATAATTCCAAGCCAATGACCAAGATTTTTGAGTAATGCGCGATCAGGAATATTATTCATTTGTTTATCACCCAATAACAGTATCTAAAATATAAATAAATATAAATAAATTACTATTAGGCACAAAAATGAAGTCAATTACTTTTATATTTCGATGTGTTTCAGCCAATACGGTATCAATTAATATCTGAACATTTAATGTCATTACAAAACCTGCATAGAGTGTATGAAAGTTAGGTTCAATTGATGCACGTTTCATAACTAAATATTGTGCTACCCATTGCCAATGTTTATCATCCTGCATCGATTCTTTTAATTCATCAGCCTAATCGTCAATGAAAAGAGTTTCACAAATAATTAGTACTTCAACTCAATCAATGGTTCATACTTTTTGACTAAGATTTGCAAATGATAAATTGTTAAATGTAAATGAAACTTTATCTTGAATGCCTTCTGGTGGCGGTGCAACACGAACTTTTTCATAACTTGGAGCTCTTAATAATGAACTAATATTTGCACTTTGAGCAACGGATGGCTAAAAACACAATTGAAAAAGAAAAGAGATAGATATTTTTTAAATGATAGAAAAACAAGAAACAGTGATTCAGTACTATTACGCCTGTTGTTGTATTAGCTCTTGTCGTAGAATATGTTGGTAATTGATTCGGTATTTGTGTAGAATTTATTCTTGGAAATGTATTTTGTATATTTGACAATGGTGATGGTGATTGTTGGATATTATTAGATGGTAATGTTGGCTGTTGTGGAGTTGGTGTTAATGTTCGTGGTTGTTGTTGCTGTAAACTAGTTAACTGAGTATTATTCATTTGACTAGGAGGATATTCACCTAATGCACCGTATTCAATATAATCTTTAAGATTTGCCGGTATATCATGATAAGATTGAGCAGTTTTAAATAGATGACAATATTGACTATTTTCACGAAGTCTAGAAACAAATATATTTTGATGATCATACAACATGTCATTAATAATTTTCAGATTTATCTACCTTAATTTACAACGTTCGAGTGCTGTTATAGCAAATATAAATAAATTAGCTGATGGTGGTTTTTTTAAACCTTCACCAATAGCTCGAAATGACGCCGAAACAATTTGTGGTGGTAATAGATTACGTTCCACTAAGCCACCAAATAATTGAGCAGTTAAATGCAATTCTCTTTCAGGATATTGCGGATAAAATTTATATTCATCAAATAAATTTCTCACACCACTTTGAAATACATCCTACAAAAATTAGAAGAATAAAAAGTTTATCCTGTTATTTAATTCTTGATTGATAGAGGAAAAAAATATGAAAGAATATATACTCTTTCTCTTTGTATTGACGAATCTCGACAACGTGTAAATATATCAAGAAAATCATCAACGGAAATTGGTGGAGGATTATTTGTTTTACTGTATAAGCGCTTAAAATAAATATCGACATCGGCAATTTCAGAATTTGATAAATGACTAGATGTGGATACACCGGATATATTGTTGCCAGCTGTATTGCCCATATGTTGACCTAACAGCTGATCATTGGCCAAGGCATTCAGATTGCCTAAAGAAAAGAAGAAACACCATTACTTTTAATAGTAATAGAAATTAATAATTATTGGTTTATTAGCATAATTTAAACATTGCCGGAAATACTCGCCTTAAGCCGCTTAAAAATATGATTATTTTTCTCCCATCTCGTGTCGTAGCACGCATAATTGTCATCTACAACCTCGAAGGTTTCTTAAGTCTAGTCTATACCCTAAGACGTTATCATGTGGAAGAGGAATCGAATTTTGAATGATCGATATATGATATAAAGCACATAAATAACAAGAACAACAAGACAACAACAGCAAGATTATTTTTTTTTGTTCTCACACTTATGCATGATCGTATTCGAGGAGGGCACCATCAGCCACAGAAGAAGAAGAAAGAAAAGGAAAAAAGTAATTCTGAATCTATAACTTCATCAAGCCGCAGTTTCTACAAAAAAAAAAAGGAGGAAAAAATGAATGGAGAAAAAATGAAGGAAAATAAATATCTGCGTGCGGATTCCACTTGCTTATTTTTTATGTGTATAATATACTTGCGGACGAAAGAAACGCACGCATAAAAAAAGAAAAGAGAGCAATAATAATCATAAAAAAACATATTGCATGCCTTCTACTTTCTCACTGAGTATTTTTTCATTTGTTGTTGCTAATAATATCGATGCCATTATTTTTTGTGTTCATTTGAATAACACCAATATATAAACATATGAACAACCTACGCACAAATTAGCGGTTTTCTCTTTTTCTATAACTGTGTTAAAAGAAACTTTATGAAGAATACTATATTCTTAAATAACGATAGAAAAAAGAAATATTGTACTCGTCTTTTGTATGAAAAAGAAAACTCTTTGCACGAAAATAAATTAAATCAAGGGTCACGCACATGGTTTTATTTTAAATTTAACTTCGATGTGTGATTCATCGATTGTTTATCAAAAAAAAAATTCTTGTCAAAAAAAAGATTTTTCAAAATTAAAATGTCTGTAGAGATGTAAAATACTAAGTTTCACTATTTGCGTTTTGTTCTCGCGTCCCTTTTTCTATCATTTTCTTTTCTTTCCTTCTCTTTTAGTACATATTTTCCATGTACATATATACATACGTATTTTCCCATTATAAAACGTACAAAGAGAAATGTAGTTCAGAAGAAATAGCAACATGTGTCTGGTATGACCATACGCAGACGATAATCATGGATGGAAATTAAAGAAAAAAAAATGATACATAACTCGGAAATGAATCGAAAGAAAACGGAAAAATCAAATTTCCATCTTCGAGTTTCATTGCACAATTAAGATTGTGCTTACAAATTATTCAACATCAAATTATTGACAAAAAAAAATACACATCGCTATCAAAGTATTCAAATAAACTAAAGTACTATCGAATTTTTTTCGATAGCATGACCAACTATCGTAGTTTTTTCAAATTTTCGAAGTATAGTGCACAAAGGAATAGAAGACAAATTTTCAAGAACTTTTACTAAGTGACAGATTTCAAACGATAGAAACACAAGAATTTTATTAGCAGCTTTTTCTAGCGAGAACAAGATTATAATGTAGGTAAGAAAATCAAACTTGGGTTTTTAATGTAATGAAAGCCTTGCTGAAACCGATTTTTTAATGAGTATTCATATACAGCACATTCAATGATCGTGCACACTTAGTCTGATAGCAGCGCCTGTTTTTTCATTCAATGAATTTGGCAGTTAGAACAACCCAAATGGCAATGGGTTAATATAGAATGAGATTGTATTCACTAAGATCAAAATCAATCATAACCATCTGTTAGAAAAAGAAAGAAAGAAAACAGCTGATATAAAAAAATTGATCTATTTTTCTCTTCTCATTATAGACTGCACATGTGTATATATTTTCACAGAGAAAAATCTGATTTTATATCAATCAGTTTAGGCAACTTTGTTCAATAAACGTCTGTAAGACATAGAGGAATAAACGGACGCACGGAACAGATGACTAACAGAGACATTAATAGAAAGAACTCTAGAAGTTACGAGACAAAAACGTCATGACAAAAACTTTCATATATAAAATCAATTTATATGTACTAGAAAAATTGACGATGGTTAAGTACAAAATACTTATATAAAATAAAGAAAATCTTGTAGCATTATTTGCAAGTCCAATTATAGTGATTATATGGTAGTGTTATGCTACACAAGAAAGTTTATGAATTTGCTGATAAAATATATTACTTCATCTAGGCTTGCACGAACACAACAGGACAACTAATGAAATTCCACGCACAATATAATTAAACTCAATCAGAAACTAAACTAACGAGGGAAGTACCCCAACTGATAAATCGCTTTTTCAACGAAACCGAGTGGACTATAGGTAGTCGACGATGCTGATTCCGAATATTACCATGAATGCTGCTGTTAGGCCTTCAAAGACCGATCTTCTGGAAAACCAGTTTTCGAGAAACTCTAAACAACAACCAAAAGCTTTCTTAATGAGGCGTTGACTGCACAAGGTAAATGTTCATTGTCACCTCAGAGCTACAGAAAGAAAAACGAAAAATGAATTTAGAGCTTTTCTTGTAAACTCTATAACT